CCCAACACAGATTACACCACATGTATTGCACCATCTAGATTGCACCACAGTGATTGCCCCACCTAGATTGCACCGCATACGTTGCAAGGCATCACTGTTTGGGGTCCTCACTGGCTAACATGTGTACTATGTGTTGCTCGTCGAGATTAGTCAGACATTGGCAAGATGAAGACGATTCAGGACCGACATGACTCCGGGATCTCTGAGAGCTGGCGGGCCTTCTGATGTTGCAGAGCGTTCCAGAACGTTCTGAAAGCGTTCCAGGCCACTCTGAAGCACTTTACCTGCATCCAACGGGGGGCGTCCAAGCGAGGGGTTCGCAAATCATGGCCCGAAGCACGTGCGCTGCCCAGGGGGGGGGAGGGGCACGGGACGCATTGCGAGAAGAGGAGGAGGGCATGAAATCCGGGGAGACACCTGCCCCCGGCCGCGAGACCCCCCCCAAATCATCACCGCCCTCTTGGCTTGGATGCCAATTCTTGGAACCTTCCTGGAGACATTCGCTCCACTCGTGCGTCGAAGATGCGTCGATCGTCCGTCGATTTGAGTCGACCCTGAGTCGAACCTGAGCCGAACCTGAGCCGAACCTGAGCCGAACCTGAGTCGAACTTGCGTCGAACTTGAATCGAACTAGTGCCGACCAGCTCCGTTAGGTGGGCCCCAGGAAGGTCCCCAGAACGAGCACCTAACTCGGCCGCCCCCGACGGGCGCTCTGAAGCGATCCACCTCCCCCCGAGGCCTGCCCCACAGACCCCTCAGGTTGCTCGGGAGCACCGGCCGAGGAGCCCCCCAGTTCATCCCCCCCCCTCCCCCGAAGGGCGCTCGGAAACGATCCCTGCCCTCCCCCACAGGCACCTCTGGGTGCTCGGGATCGCGGCTCCCCACGCCAAGGACCCCCCCCTCAGGTCGGTCATCCCCCCCCCCTCTTCCCAGACCCCGACGCCACGAGTTGTTTCTCACGACGACCCCCAGGAGTGTCGAACCATTCCCCGGGACCGGCTTTTCATCTTGAGTCGTCTTCTCACGGCCCCGAGGCCCGGCGAGGGCCCACAGAGGCCGAACATAGCGGGAGGATCCTCCCTCCGCGCCTCCTCTCCATGGCTCGAGGGGCCCGGGTCCGAGGCCCGCACCACAGATCGGGGGCGCGCAAACATGGATCAGCGATCCATGGCCTTGGCGCGCAGTCGCCAACTCCATGGATCGGGGGAGGTGCCCTCCCCCAAATGCGGCCAGCGCCGCCGCGCTCGGCGGCGGAAATCCGCGACTCCCATGGGAACGGGCCCCGTCGCTAACTCATGCCCTCTTCATTCATGTTTGCGATCGCCTGAACAGGCCCATCACAGGATGTTCTAAAAGAACCATTTTGTGGCCTGCCCAACATGTTCTTAGAACATGTCTGGCTGGGGCTGTCTTGGTTCAGCAGGTCGGACTTATACGTTCTGAGAACACCGCTTCTCTTCTTAAGAACACATTATGGGGCTCCAAAAACATGTCTTTGGAGTCCCGAAACGGTGCGGTGACAGACCGTGCGGTGACCTCGAAATCCCACGAGACCTCACCGCACGGTCCGTCGCCGCACGGTCTTGGGAACCCGGAGGCCCCTGTCGCCCGAGACGTCCTCGGAGAACGGCCCGAGTCCCAAAGCCGTGCGGTGACCCCGAATCCCCACCGAGTCACCGCACGGCGTGGTCACCACCCCGTCTGGGGACCCCCGACAATCTCGTGGTCGGCGTGTGGGAATGCCGGGACGGTCGGCCCCTGCTCCACTCCGGGTGCTATCGGGAGCACGGCTCCCCCCGGCCGAGCGGCCCCGGCCCTGAGCATCGCTGCACCGATCCCCCTCCCCCGCGGCGCGGCCTGGGCCCCTCGCCGGCCGATCCCCCACCCCCCCGGGCAGGGGGGGTCTGGGTCGTGCTCTTCGGGCTCCGACGAGGGGTGCACCCCCCACTGGGGTGGTACTTTGGCGGGGGCCTCGAAGGGGATGGAGATGGGGATGGGGATCGGTTATACGCCCAGACATGCGACGTCCTGAGTTTCCCACGACGGCGTCCCCTGGAAGTCCCGACCCCGTCCCCGGGACCGGTCTTTCATCCTGAGTCGTTTTTGGACGGTCTCAGGGGGCCGGCGAGGGCCCCCGAGGGTCGAAACTAGTGAAAAACCTCCCGTCCTGATTCTCTTTTACGACGCGAGCACGTCTGGGAACGATACCGAGACCCAGCCGGGGAAGGGCGGCGCGCGCCCCGCGCGCCTCCCGCTCGGCCTCCTGCGGGTCCAGCCGCACGCCGGGCAGCCAGCGCTGCAGGGCCGCCGCCCCGCCCTCGGGCGCCGCCGCCGCCGCCGCCAGCGGCCTCGGCGTCGCCGTCGCCGCGGTCGTCGAGGTCGTGGGAAGGTGCGAGGGGCCCTGGTGCGGGCACACAGGTCAAGAGACACGAGTCCCAGGATGCCCCAGGTCTTCCAATATCTTCTGGGTGTTCGTCCGTTCCCCCCCCCACTTCCCACATGTTTTCCCATGACTTCCTGGGGGTCGACGATTCATTGTCTGTGTTTTTTGTCCACTCCTGAGAGTGGTCATGGGCGTGGGCGTGGTCGTGGTCGTGGTCGTGGTCGTCGCCGCTGCCGCTGGCGTCGTCGTCGTCGCTGGTGCCGCCGTCGCCAGCGGTGTCGGCGTCGCTGTTACGGTGTCGACGTTGTCGTCATCGCCGTCGTCGTCGTCGGCGTCGCTCTCGTCGTCGTCGTCGCCGCCGCCGCCACCGTCGTCGTCGTCGTCGTCGGCGGCGTCGTCGTCGTCGGCGTCGTCGGCTTCGCCGCCGCTGGCGTCGTCAACGTCGTCGTCGTCGTCGTCGCTCTGGTCTGGGTGGTCGAGGTCGTCGCCGTGGGCACGGTTGTGGTCGTTGCCGCCGTCCACCTCTCAATCCTCCTGCTCCGCGTCATCGTCCTCCTCCTCCTTTTCTTTCTCCAGTGGTAACAACCATGTGCGTGTCTCTCGAAGTTCCTTCTTCCCCTCGTCCTCCTCTCACCTCCCCTCCCCATTCCCCCTCCTCCCCCTCCTCCCTCTGCTCTTCACCCTACAGCCCTACAGCTTCTTCATACCCTCCCTCCCTCCCTCCCTCCCTCCCTCCCTCCCTCCTCCTGGCCCTCCTCCTGGCCCTCCTCCTGCGCTGCTGGCTTCTCACTCCTCCGCCCTCCTCCTGCGCCTCTCCTCCTCCTCGCCCCTGCGCCGACGAGCTCCCCGGGGACAGCCGACGGGCCTGCAGGGGCCCCACTGGTGCGGAGGAGGGAGACCCGGAGGGAGGGAGGGAGGGCGGGGGGAACTTGATTTCCGGGGATGGACAAAAGGACCCTTTGGAGGAGGAGGAGGAGGAGGTGGAGACGGAGGAGGAGGATCGAGGAGGATCGAGGAGGATCGAGGAGGAGGAGGAGGAGTAGGAGGAGGAGTAAGAGCAAAACTCCATCTGGGGAAAGCAACTCCGGGGGGCCAGACCCGGGGCTGGACCCGGCGGGCGCAGGCCTGCAAAAGAAGTGCGGCCGCGACGCCCTCTCGAGGACGGCACGAGTGCCCCGCGCAGGCAGCCGCTGCAGGGCGCGGGCTCCACCAAAGCCTCCACGGCTTCCTCGGGCTGCACCCCTGCGGAACGCGGGGGCTCGGAGCCGAGCGACCCCCCCCCCCGCCGTGACAAAAACTGCAGCGCCGGGACCTCAGGGAAAGCCGAGGCTTAGGTCGGGCATGTCCCCCTACAGGCAGATTTTGGACGAAAAAAATACCCCCAAAACATACCCCAAAATGATCAAAAATAGTCAAAACATCGCCCCCCGACTATTTTTAACTACTCACCGCCATGGGCCGCGGCGCGCGGCGGGAAGCCCTCCCGCCGGGAGGCCACGGCTGGCCGCGGCCGCAGCGGGCGCGCCAATTGAGGCGCCGCTCCGCCGAGGCGCGGCCGCCGCGCCCCACAGCGCGGCGCGGCCGCGTCCGCGCCCCGCCGAGGGCGCGCCGAGGAGCCCTGCCGCAGAGGCGGCAGGCAGCCTCGGCCGGGCCCAACGGACCTCGCAGGCCCCGCGCGGCAGGGCGCAGTTCCTCCTCCTCCTCCTCCTCCTCCTCCTCCTCCTCCTCCTCCTCCTCCTCCTCCCCCTCCTTCGACTACTCCTCCTCCTCCTCCACCTCCACCTCCTCCTCCTCCTCCTCCTCCTCCTCCTCCTCCTCCTCCTCCTCCTCATCGTTCTCCTTCTCCCCCTCCTCCTCCACCTCCTCTCCCCCTCCTCCCTCCTCCTCCTCCTCCTCCTCCTCCTCCTCCTCCACCTCCTCCTCCTCCTCCTCCTCCCCGTCCCCCTCCTCCTACCGCCTCCTCCTCCTTCCCTCCTCCTACTCCTCCTCCTCCTCCTCCTAACCCTCCTTCGGCTACTCCTCCTCCTCCTCCTCCTCTCCTCCTCCTCCTCCCCACCTCCCCCCTCCCCTCCTCCGCCTCCTCCTCCTCCTCCTCCTCCTCCTCCTCCTCTTCCTCCTCCTCTGGCGTGATTTGTTGCGCGATGCTGCATTGTTTTAGCTGGGACCGACCGTCCCGGCATTCCTATAGGCCTAGCAGGAAATGTTCTTAGAACCCGAACATGTTCTAGGAGCAAAAACAATCCTCTTAGAACATTCACCCGATGTGTTATAACAGGACAGCCTATGCCAGGAATGTTCTGAGAACACTTCGCGCAAGCCACAAAAGGTTCTCAGAACATCCTCTGGTGGACCTAGCAGGCGAGCCAGGACGCTTCCGCCACTGCCTGAGTTTTGGTGGTGCAGCGTCGGATCTCAGGGCCTGTCCCGGCCCCTGTCGGCGACCTTCTGAACCCGGGTCAATCCAGACCCGGGTCAGCAGGAAACTAACAACTGCAGTGCAGGAACAAAAAAACATGCAACGCAGGTCCTCGCAAACCCGGGTCAGCCAGCAGGCGCGGCCGCCCCGCGGCCACGAGCGGCTCGCGGACCCGGGTCGGCCAGAGGGGGTCCTCGCAGGATCCTGCAGGATCCGGCGCTCTGGCTGACCCCAGTCTGCGTCGACCCCCGCCTCGAGGCTCCCGACCCTGGCGGGCGGAGGCGGACACGACGGCGGCCGCTCGATCCATCCTGGGCCTCCGCGGGCCCTCGCCCGGCCTCGGGGCCGCCCGACCCAGAGGCGCCTCGGGACGGAGAGCCGCAGATGCTCCAAAGAGAAGCCACACGCGCTATACAACAACTGAGCGAACGAATCCTCCTCCTCGATCCTCCTCCTCGATCCTCCTTCTCGATCCTCCTCCTCGATCCTCCTCTTCGATCCTCCTCCTCCTCCTCCTCCTCTTTTTACATGGGGGCCTCCCATACCATCTTGCCGGCTCTTGCGATTCGACGCTCATCGGCGTCGAATCGACGCTCATCGACGCCAAATCGTCGACGTCATGGGAAGCGTCGATGCTGAGTCGTCGACGCTGCATCTCGGGCGGTCGACGTGATGGGAAACTATCAGGACGTCGGGGTCGGGGGGCGGGGGGCGGGGGGGCGAAGCGCCGGCGCGGCGGGCGGCAGCAGGGGCGCGCAGCCGGAGTGTGCTCGTGTGTCGTGTGTTGTGTGTTGTGTGCTATGTTGTGTGCTGTGCGTTGTGTGTGTGTGTGTGTCAATGAGAATGGAGGGGGAGAAGGAGAACGGAGGAGGAGAAGGAGAATGGTCGAGCCTGTGGAGGCCTCCGAATATGGGGAGAAGGAGAACGGAGGAGGAGAAGGAGAAGGAGAAGGAGAAGGAGGAGGAAAGGATGAAGAACAGGAGGACGGAATGAGCAGCGAGGACAGTGACCACGGGGGGGCAGGAGGGGGACGAGAGCAGGGCGAGGGTTCGGCGGCAACTCATGGGAGCCTCCCATACCATCTTGTCGGCTCTGGCGAATCGACGCTCAACGATGCAAAATCGCTGCAAATCGACGCGAACCGACGCAACATCGGCGCTATCTTAACGAATCCCAGACGCCAATCGACGCGAATCAACGCTGAATGCGGAATTATGAGGGTCGACCAGGCCCCCATGAATTTTGCTGCAGTGGAGGCTGGTCCGCAGTGGTGCGGGAATGTCGTGCCTTCCATCGACACGAAACATCGAAGCCCAAGAAGCCCTCGAGGCAAACAGGGTGTTTCTTGGCATGGTGCTCCACTGTACCGAACGATTTGGACGCCCGAAATGGGTACGGAAAAAATGGGTACAATGCCCAACAACAAATGCTGTCCCAAACCAACAGCGGCCGCTGTTGGGCAGGCTGCCTTCTGTCTCAACTGGACACAGGCCGCGGCGGCGCGGACAGCGAGTCCTCTTCAAAATGAACAGGGACTGCTGTTGGGCATTGTACCCATTCTTTCCGTGCCAATCTCGTTCGTGCAGAAACGAGCAGGAGCAGGGGGGACGCGAGAACGGAGGAGGAGGGCCAGAGGCGGAGAGACCACGACCACGGAGGAGGGGGATGGGGCAGCAGCAGGGGGGGCGACGCGCACGGAGCAGCAGGGGCAGGGGGGGAGGAGGGGAAGGGGAGAAGGTCCTCCTTATCCCCCTGGTCCCTCCTCCTCCTCCTCCTCCAGCTCCAGTTCCTCCTCCTCCTCCTCCTCCTCCTCCTCCTCCTCCTCCAGCTCCAGCTCCTCCTCCTCCTCCTCCTCCTCCTCCTCCTCCTCCTCCTCCTCCTGCTCCTCCTGCTTCTCCCGCTCCTCCGGGCAGCAGGGGCGGCAGCAAAAGCAGGGGCAGGGAGAGGATGCAGAGGGGGAGGAACGCAGGAGGAGCGGCAGGAAGAGCCAGGATGTATCGCCACTGGGCAGCGCTTCGCCGATCCCGATACCCAGCGGCGTGGCCTAGGCCCCCCACCCCTCGGGCCGATGTGCCCCCCTAGATGGGATATATATATATACATATATACACATATATATATATTCATATATATATATATATAAATAAATAATATATATATATATATATGTATATTTATGAATATATATATATATACATATATGTATATATACATGCATATATAAATATATATATATATATATATATGTGTTCATATATATATGTGCTCAGCCCCACCCCAGCACCCCCCCCAGGGCCCGTCATCCTCATCATCATCCCCATCGCATTTCTCCTCATCCTCATCCGCATGATTCTGAGGATCAGGATGCGGAGGAGGATGATGATGTTGATGATGAAGATGATGATGAGGAGGAGGAGGAGGGCGGGGATGATGATAAGGCGGAGGGGGCGGATAATGTTGAGGATGCGGATGAGGATGAGGATGATGATGATGATGGTGATGACGAGGAGGAGGGGGATGATGATGATGATGATGACGATGACGATGATGATGATGATGATGATGGTGATGATGATGGTGGTGGTGATAATGATGATGATGCTGATGATGATGATGATGATGATGATGCGGAGAATGGCAATAATGATGCTGACGATGATGATGATGAGCAACATGAGAATGATGAGGTGGATGATGCGGAGGGGGATGATGATGATGTGGATGATGAAGATAAGGAGGAAGGAGGAGGAGACGGAGGAGGATGCGGAGAAGGATGTGGGGGATTATGCGGAGGAGGAGGATGGGGGGGAGCTTATTCGCTGGTGGCGTCATTACCATTCGGCGAAGGGGCTTGTGTGTTTGATCTACGTTCGTGTGGCCACGTTTCGACACTAACCGTGGATAGTTTCTTGTCTCAGTTATCTTGCTCCTCTTCCTTCTCCTGGTCCCTCTTCCTCGCGTCTCTCCGCCTCATCTCTCGTCCTCATCTCTCCTCCTCCCTCCTCCACCTACTCTTCTGCCTGGTCCCCCCTCTTACTATTCAGCCGACTCTTCTTCCTAGTCTCACTTGCTCTGCCTGCTTAGTGTCTCTTGTCCCTCCCCACTCGTTCTCCTCCTTTTCTCCGCCGCTCAGCCCCAGATGATAACTTCACGCGCTTCCTTCCCTAGATGAGGAGGGGCACTTGCAAGGGGGGCCAGTGCGGCGACATGACAATAATGATGACAAGGGGGCGGGGGCCGAGGGTGATGGGGATGATCAGCAGATGCATAAGGACGATTACAGGACGATTACTAACCAGACAGCAAATCCCGCCGATATGCCGCTGGCGCATCTGGGGTTACCTTAACCCTTGCGGCGCACTTCACGCTTTGGGCGCCTGGGGGCATCGGGGGTGCCATCGGGCCACGCGGCATCACCCCTCGACGAGGGGACCTCCCAACGCCGAATTTTATTCAAGGCCTCTTGGCCTGCAGGGGTGGGGTGCCCTTTACACATGCCGACGAGGCCCGCCCCCAGTCTACCACCCGTGGGGGTCTTCGAGCCTAGGCGCCCACACCTCCAACAAAAAATCTGGCCATACAATATTGCTGCATTGTGCGACTCATGCACCGCCTTGTCCCCGATACTGCACCGAGGGGGGAGGCGCACAGGTAAACCTTGAGACTCTATGGTACTGGGGTCCTGGACATGCGCCACTGCGAAGCCAGTCCAACATAGAAAACTCCCCAGGGCCACTCTGGCAGTGGCAACACACCCAGGAGGGGCCGACCTTGGGGACCTGGTGCCCCGAAGACGCTTCAAGAGCCTTCCTTGCGCGCCAGGCAGCGGGCGGCGCACGGCAGTCCTTACGCGGGCGGCTCTTACGCTCGTAGTCGGCACAAGCGGACGCCGCGTTGACCATAGCCAGCCTCCTCTGGACCAACCACACTTTAAATTCAGCACGGGCTATATCTCTGACCTCTGGGTCAATTTCAGCTGAAACCTGCTCAACTCCTATTTGGGCGAATTTGTCGGCAAGGTCATTGCCTCGGGAGACACAGGGGGTCTGGACCAGGGAGGCTAGCGAAACTCTATCTAGGTGCGAATTGCACTTACTGAGCATCACTCGTCGACCTTGAGCTTCGGAGAAGACCCTCTTCCACCAACCTCTGAGTTCTCCCGAGGTGTCCGAGGAACCGTGCCATCCGTCGTAAACGATCTGGTTGTCCGCGTAGAACCAAAATGGAGGCGCGCGTCGCTGCTCGAAGCCGAGCCGCCCAGGAAGGCCAGCTTGCACTCGATGCGGTCCTCGAAGTTCACCGTGCCCTCGAACGCGACGGCCGGCCCGTCCCAATCGATGTAGTACAGCAGGCAAGGCGTGCCCCACGAAGGCGGAGGCGGTACGGAATTCCACGTGGATGGTAGTAGCCCTCTTAGCCACAGCTCCAGGTTGGTCCCGTTAGTAATGTCTCGGACTGCTTCATCACATAGCTTGGCGCTCTGACGGATCCACGGGTGGTCCTGACCGCATGTGTGAGGGCAGCCCCAGACGCGGTGGGCCATCGTCTCTTTCTGGCCTGTCGCGCACCTGGTACATACTCCATCACACTCATAGCCTTCAGCACGGCAACGATCTTCGGTCCAAATGGTATTGCAAATAAATGCTACTAGCGCACCAGATTCACGATGTGACTCTGTACGTCTCATTCTCTGTAGGGTTCTGCTTGCTGTCGTGAGGTCTGGCGTAGAACTCCAGCCTCCTCCGTGGCGATCTCTGGCCGCCCGCTGCCACAGCTCCTTGATGCCGTCCGCCGTGATGATCGCCATGAGTTGGGTGGTGTCTTCATCTCCGAGTATGCAGTCTGACTGCTGAGATGGCGGCACTTTCCGACGGTCATTGTCTTCCTTTGGAGCTGGGACCTGACTTGGCACATAGTTTTCAACTTTGGTTCCAGCTCCTCTTTGCTTATTTGTGTAAGAACCCATTCCAGCCAGAAACTGCTGTCCATCTGTGTTGTCCTCCACGTCTTGGAAGGGGTCGTGGTCGCCGTCCATGTTGGTCGCAGCCTGCTGTGGTTGGCCCTCTGGAAGTCGGTGGACTCTGCTACCTTGACCGTCCTGGCTACCGTCTGAAGGTGGCAGCTCACGGCTTGCATACATATTGTGCTGGTGCGGTTGCTGGGCCATCGTCCATTCATTTTCCTGCGCATCCGTCCACGTGTCTGGCTCAGGTAGCTGCCATCCTAGTTCAGAAATTCCTTGGATAAGGGCCGCCATCGGCCCTGTCACCACGTTCCAACGTCCTCTAGGTCGTGCCCGCTGGAGTCGCTGTACGGCTGCATGCCAACCTCCTCGTAGTTTGTCATGGTAATCTGGCCACCGCTTCCAACGCTTAATCCATTCTGCAACTTGGCGGCGGAGCCCAACAGCTTTGGGGTCCCTCCCGAAGTAATGCAACAGCATCACCACGGATGTACTCCTGCCGCCTGTCGTGTACCCGAGCATGTCTGCTGCTTCAGCTCTTGCACGTCGCACCGCTGTTGGAGACTGGCCTATTGCAAGGACGTCATATGCTGACTTAGCACGGACATTGACTAAGTTGAGCGTGGCCAGCTTCCGTCTACGCTTGCCCGCCCCTTTGAAAACCCTGGCTCGGCGTATTCGTGCTCTGGCCGCTTTGCGTCTCTCCGTTGCCGTCGTGGTGCGCCTCTTGCGTCCTCTCGCCACGTCGATGCCGAGGTCGCGTACGCACGAGGCTCCTTTGACTGTTGCCCCTAGTTGCCGAACCGCTTGCGAGACTGTTTTTCAATACTTGGGTGGGATGCCATCACTGCCGACTTGTCCGACATCTCCAACTTGCTCTCAATGCATCCTTTGACCAACTCGACCGCAACAGTGGTCAGCTCGTGCTTGACCTGCTTGTACGAGCCGCCTGACCTCGCCGTGGCATCGTCCACATACTGTCTGGGAAGCGCTCGGGGTACCTGATGGTGAGCTCGTCCCAAAACTTCGTATAAGAAAGTCCTTGCACCATTATTTGCATTGTTGCACCCTGATGCGATGCTGTTGCCAGGGATCATCGGTGGAGCGAATGCACCTCCTGCTCTGATCGCTCGCGGAGCGAGGTATACCAGACAATTGAGGTAGAGCTCCACGGGGGGAAAATCAAGCGTCAAAGCGCGATCAAACAAGATCGGGATGCTGATCGAATCGTAGAACTTTTTGATGTCCAAATAGATTGAGCCCCACGCTTGCGTTCCATCCCAGGCACTGCTTTCGTCCATGGCCATGCTGTAGAGAGCTGCCTGGAGGGCTGACGACTGGGCCACCGCTGCATCCCAAAAGGCTGCCTTCTTGCTGCCCCACTCTGCCATAGTTGGTTGTCGGATTCGCCCCCAAAGTCGCATTGGTAAAGGTATCAAGCCGATCGGCCTCTCGTCTCCAGCTTTCAAGTTGGATCCTTTGCGTAGAAGTTCATACCAAATGTGTAACCATTGGTGCGGCCATGAAAGGCTTTGCTCACATCTGGTCAGCAAGACGGCCAATTCCTCTTTGGCCTGGGGTGCCAACGCCTTCAGATGCTGCGCTTTCCACATGTCCGAACCTTGGCCTGAGGAATTGGGCGTCGTCCTGAGAGCTGCTTCCAATTGGTCCAAGGTGATGGGTTCACGCTCAGGACGGTCTGCTTCAGCCCGTGAGCGCAGCTTCTGCATCTGTGCCTTGGTCTCGTTGTACCCGTCGTGCTTGGTCCATCTTGCTTTCCATTGTCTGGCTCTCGTCTCCACCGCACTTTGCAAGTTGGCGATAACTCCACTGCTGTCGGGGTCGATGCACAGCTCAGGGAGCGAGAGGGATTCGGGCCGCTTGAGATATCCATGAGCCTCCTTCATGTTGACGTCCATGGCCTTCCTTGCCCAACGGTGGATGCTCTGCTTCGCTTTCTGCCAGGCTCGCTTGCCGTGTCGCTCAGCCCGCTGCGCCGCTTGAAGTATTGCTTCACTCCACAACTGATGGCCTGTGTCCAGCTCTGTCCTGCGAATAATATCCAAGGCCCAAGAGTCTTCTTTCTCATCTTGGCGTACACAGTTGAGGCTGGACGGTGGCAGTGGTGGGTACTCCAATGATTCGATGTGCGTCAATTGAGATCGTAACATTCCTCGAAGTTGCTGCTGCCGAGTAGAGCTCTTTGAAACTGCCAATTGCCGTAAGAGAGGTCCCATTTCCACCCAGCGGTCATGTCTGGCTTGTTCTGGTTCCTGCGCGCGGTGTTCACGCCGAGGGGCTACTGGGACCAAGCGGTACTTCACTGGCCGTCCTCGAACCGTTTTAACTTGGTCTTCTCTGTTGCACAAAATGGCCAGGGCATGGTCTGCTGCTTGTGCCCATCGAGTGTACTGCTCGCCCAACTGCACGCTGCTCGCTTCTGTTAACTGAAAAGCCTAACTGTCCACCGTGGTTTTGTCTGGGCTGAATGATTCACAATGTTCTGTCTGCCTTCGAATATCTTGCCATACATCGTCCGAGACCGTAGCCAATACCTCTCTGGAGTACGTCGGTTCAAGGAGCTTGTCGATGTCTGCTCGTTCTTGTTGGAGAGCTTGTTGTTCTTCCGTCAGGTCTGTGTCGTAGATTATGTCATCCAACTCTGGTTGGTGCTCCGTAAGCTTTGCATGCTGCTCTCGGTCTCGCTGCTTCCTTTTGCTGCCTTTCTCGACGCGCACCGTGATGTATGGCACTTTGTGCTGCTCTGCCCTAACAGGAGACAAGATCTGCAACTTGGCTGGCTTCCTGGCGATACGGATGCGCAATCCAACATGAGGTCTCCACGGGACCTTCGTTACCGCCATGACACCACCCAAGAAAGGCCTGCATATTGGTGGGCAAATGACATAATCTAACATGCGGCCTCTGCCACTCGTACACGTCGCATCGATGTTCGGGCAAACTGGGGTAACTTTGAGCTTCTTCGCCCACGTGGACTGCGTGAACTCGTCTGGGGTAACCTTCCAGTCACCCACTGCCATCCACGGTGTAGAGATACTAGCCGTCAACTGTGTCAGCTGCTTCATCTTCGCTGCATTGGGCCCTGTCAGGCCCGGTCCGCTGTCGAGGTATACCACGAAGAGTGTGATACGTGTTCCTCCCTTCAAATCCCAGTGCACCACCGCAATGTCATTCAACTCCTTCTCGAAGGCGCTGCTCCCCTTGACGGTGGGCAGGTGCACTGCAGTCTGGAGGTGCGAGCGACGTAGCCAACATACTCCCCCATGGGTACCGTTTACTGATCGCCCCGTCTTTCTGGCTGCTGTCCAAGTGTACTGTGAATGCCAGCCGTCTGGTTGAAGCCGCTGGGCCTCGCTGGCTGCGCTCGTCCTCTGAAGGTGGCGTTCCACTAAGCCCACCATGTCGCATTTCGAACCCAATATGAAATCACGAACTGACGCATTGTACTGTGAGATATTCGCCACGAATACATGTGAAACACGGGTCCTGCTCACCGCTGATGGGGTCCTGGAACGTGACCTTGCGCCGAGTGCTAGGACCACGTCTTGGACTGCGTCTTTGCCGCCGCAACCGTCTTGCTCCTCTCGCGAATGCGTACTGTGGTCTCCAGGTACCTGTCCACCTCGTCAGGGTTCGTGAAGTCGCACGGCTTGGTCTGTTCTGCGGCTGGCTCCTCTTGGACTTCATCTTTGGCCTGGGTGCCCCCAACTGATGGTTGTCCTCCGTTGCCACGGCGCCTCTTGCACTCTTGAGCCTTGTCTGCGAACTTGCGGAGGTTCTCGGCGGCCTCCTTGCGGGCCTGGGTGGCCCCCTTCGCCGCTTCCAAGGTCTTCTGCGCTGCCGCGGCCGCTTCCTTGGCTGCCTCGTACTCTTTCTTTTCTGCTTCACCCAGGAATGCCAGCTCTTCACTGCTGAGCTCTGGGGCAGCTGCATCGTCATGGACTGTCGCTGCTGAAGGTGGTTGTCCTCTGTTCGCCTTCTCACGACACAAATCCACTTGTTGCTGAGCTTCTTTCTCGGCGATTTTGTTGTCAGCCAGCTTTTCCAGGATGTCATTTTGTTCTTCTGCATTGCGTTGGAGTCGCCTGCGTAGCCTCTCTCCCGCCGTCGTGACCATAAAGGATAAGGACGGAGCGCCTTGGCTTGCCGTCCTCCACCGTCCGTTCTCCCTCCCCCTTCCTTTCACACCACACACGCCTCGCTTCCGTCCAACCTCTCCGCCCTTTCCCCTTTCCCCAAAAACAAAAAAGAGAGGAGAGGAAGAAGGGAAAAAGAAGAAGAAGAAAAAAGAAGAAGAAAGAAGAAGGGAAACATTTATAAAGTGAAATAAGAAAGAAAATATCCTCGAAAGGCTTGGGCGCTGGTGGCGGTGCTGGCTCGGGAACTCGTAACTGAGGGCACGCTCGCTCCAACAAATCCAACTGCTCCTTGGCGTTGCCGTCCTTGGCCGCTTTGCACTGATCTGCGAGGAGGGCGACCAGGGCCTGGGTCTGTGGATCTGGCGGGGCTGTCTCCGTCGATATGCTTGACCACGTGGTTCCACACTTTGCGCACTTGGCCTTGTCAGCGACACGGTCAAAATAGATCCAACTGCTGCCGACAGGAGAGCAAGTGCTGCACACCGCAAAAGGCCTCCTCTTCCCGCCCTGATACTCTTTCTTCGAACGTGAGTGCGATCGAGCTCTGCTAGCCGCTCGACCTCCTTCGTTCCAGGGCGGGCGCGTTCCTCCCATGTATGTCTCGTAGCCGTCGTCGTTCTGCTGCGACTTCTGCCACGCCTTGAAGGCGCGCCCCTCAAGCCGCGAGCGCGCCTCGCCACCTGCCGCAGGGCAAGCAGGGCGGACGCGCGGCGCGCGCGCAACAGTGGGCCCGTTGGACCTGCTCCCCTGCAAACCTCTCGGGCCCAGATGCTTGAGATAGCAAATGCGTATAAGGTAGTGTGGAGTGAGGACGAGGAGGGGAGGGGAGGAGGAGATGAGGAGGAGGAGATGGGAGAAGGGGGGGTAGAGGTAGCAGTACAGCAGGAGGAGGATGTGGATGAGGAGAAGGGGAGGGTGGGGAGGAAGGAGGAGGGATGAATGATTTTGAGGAGGCATTGAGCATAGAGATCGGAGGAATGGGGGAGGATGAGGATAACGGAAGAGCAAGAGGAAAACAAGGGGTGGAGGGGGATGAGCGGGAAAAGGCAAGGGGGATAAGGAGGAGCATGCGCAGCCAAACCATGATATTCACATGTTTTTTTTTATTTTTTTGGTCAGGGAAGCCACGAAACCTTGCTATTCACAGTTTTTGTTTAAGTTTCTCTGGTTTTCAGAAGCTCCACAAGCTTGGCCAGAGGGGGGCGCGGGGGGGTTGTGGAGCTTCTGAAACCAAAAGAACAAAAAAACATGTGAATAGCATGGTTTCGTGGCTTCCCTGACCCCCCCCCCAAAAAAAAAACATGTGACTAGCATGGTTTGGTGGCCACGCCCCGTTCCGCAAGCCTTCCTGGCGAAGGAATAGGAGGGGAAGGAGAACAAGGAGGAGGAGGAGGAGGGACAAAGAAAGAGGAGTCAGAGTGAGAGAGAGAGAGGGAGAGAGACAGAAAACACAGCAATGGGACCAGGGGGGCGCTGGGGGGGGGCTGACCATATATATATAGAGAGAGAGAGAGATAGGAAAAAAAAAAAAAAAAAAAAAAAAAAAAAAAAAAAAAAAAAAAAAAAAAAAAAAAAAAAAAAAAAAAAAAAAAAAAAAAACTTAGCCCTCAGCCCCCCTGGGATCGCCAGACACTGTTTTTTATCGTGTCTGGAGCAAGGCACGTCATTCACAGCGGCAAATGATTAGCGCTCAGGCGCAACCCGGAGAGACTCCCATCAGCAAAAACGCGCACGGGAACTTAGACCATCTGAGAGCGACCAGCCGACGAGGGGACAGGACGAGCAGGAGCGAAAAGGGGACGCGAGGCGAAAAAGGGAGAGGAGGGAGGGAGGACTTGAGCAGACACGTCGACGGCAGGCGTCGATGCGGCGAGCCCTCGGGGCAAAGACACGTCACTTCAGCTTGTCAAAAGCGAGCAGGGACTTAGCCCTCAGCCCCCCTGGGATCGCCAGACACTGTTTCTATCGCGTCTGGAGCAGGGCACATTATTCACAGCGGCAAATGATTAGCGCTCAGGCGCAACTCGGAGAGACTCCCAGACCCGAACAGGAAGACGAATGGCCAGGATGGCCGAAACAAAAACTCAAACCTTAAACCTGTTCCAGAGCGTCGGAACCCTAAGAGATTCAGCAGATTCTATCATCGACGAGACACAGCTTTTGAGAGCGCTGGTGGATCGGAGGCGGCAATGGCGGTCCAGTGCTTTCCTCCTGGAGCCCTGCCAGCGAGCTCCTGATGCCGCAGGCAAGATCTGCTACAAATTTTGCCGTTGGCGAGACACCAGCGCTGCAGCCTCGAGAGACAACCTCCATTCCAGGAAACGATACGAGTGCACTTTTTCCACGGCGTCCCGAAGTGGCACTGATGAAAACGAGCGCTGGAGAAGTCAGAGCCACGCGTCAGGCGGCTCAGACGAGGAGCCATCCACATCAACGATCTGTCTGGGTTTTCCAAGAGGGCTGGCACGCGAAAGCGTCTGCACACGTCGATGAGCCTGCAGGTGTCGAATAACGTGGCGTTACCCAGAGTCAGACGAGCACGCTGTGAGTCAGTGAGCACGTCCAGGCCCATGGTGGCCTCTACGCTCCGCAGCGGTTGCCGAGGAAAACGCCGAGCACGAAGCCGGAGCTAATCCACCCCTTGATGAGACGCTCGACACACCGCACCAGTAAATCCCCATGAACACAATGCTGAATGTCAATGGTAACGACGCCGTAGCCAGCAGCTCGAAACTTCTTTGAAATCCCTGCCGAGCCTGCGAACAGCTCCAAAAAGACGCAGCGGCGCCGCCGCGTGGCCCCCTGCACGGCAACCTGGAGCTCATGCCGCAGCTGGCGCAAGATGCCAGCGGTAGTGCGGCTCAGCGGCGGCGAGCAGCCGGCCTTGCG